ACTTCTCAAACATGACAGAAAGCCACTAGATTTAGATTTTCTTGTGACAGATTTCTTGTAGAAACCCTAGTCAGCAACTAGAAACCTTTCATTTACAGCACGAACTTAACTCTCTTTCATTGCTAGAATAAATTTTCTGCTTTCATTTCTAGGCTTGTGAATTCAAAAAGCAGTACTGCAGAAAAGATTCTCAGTTTGTCTGTATGTTAAAACATGTACCAATTCTTAGGGAAGTGAGGGATACATAAGGCTGTATCCAGAGGTTTGGGTGCAGGCCTGGGATAGGACTTGGAGTGGGTTAGTCCAGACAAGTGTCTGTCCAGTACTGTGCGCTTTGGCAAAAGACAGCAGAGAGAGCCTTCTTAACTTCCTGGAACCTCATGTTGTCCCAGGGAATGAATTTTGAATTTCTATCTTTGCAGACTTGTACTGAAAGTGAAGTCAAGTTCAATGTTTCTAATTCACCCATTATCACTATATGAGACGTTGCTAATCAAAGTAAATTTTACTGTTGGTTTACAAGTAGTTTCGTGATAATTAAGAGTGTGTCAATTAATCTAATAACTTCTTGGGAGAATTTTGCATGTGCAGTTGAGTGTTGTATACAATATGTAAGCCAAAAAATTCATTCGGACTTCATTGTCACCAGAACTGGTACAGGAAAGAAAAACATCAATACATTGTAAAAGTAATTAGTAAAGAGTACTCTGTGGGATCATTTTCACACATTTGTTTCAAAAGTCATAAATCAATATCAAAATAACTAAAGGGTCTACTTCATGAGTCAATCAGTAGTTTTAACAAAAACTTACAGCCATTAAAAGAAGATGGCAAAACTGAATATCATTGTGCACCTGTATAAAATTACACTAATAACTTATAAAATGATAGTCTAAAAATCTATTATACGGTACGGGTAACGGTACAAAGCTTCCTGGAAATCAAACTGACTATTAATTACATTAAAATATGGGTCGAACTGGCTTACAGGTCTGAGTAAAAATGGAGGCTGGTATTCAGTATGACATACAAAAGTAACTGACATATTGAGTAAGTGTCTGAGAGGAATCCCAAGGACACATAAACAGTTGATAAAAATGCAAAAATTGAATTTACTGTTCATTCTTATCTACAGTCCTATAATTCTTCTGAAGCTTTGTGTCATTTGTCTTACCCTGAGTGAAATATGTTACCTCATGATAGAACTCTGCCTATGAAAATTGTAATTCATTATTTAATTTCCAAGGTTAATTTTCCTGGTATTTTATTAACAATAATATCAATGTTATACTATAACAATAATAGTGAGGTTCAAATCGTAAAAGGCCTAGATATTCACCTGCCGGTTGATTGAGGTGTAGCTAACATTTCATTTCTTATGATGCTTCATAAGCTCCAAAATCTAAATATTTAACCTTCTCAACACCTTGAGAAGATTGGTGGATGAATTTTATTACCTCTCCTTTGAAGAGGAGCAAATGAGACTCAACCAATCACAAGACCAAGTTCAGAACTTAGACCATGCTTGGACTGTGTTCAATAAGAATATGTGGGTTATTTGGTTTTTTCCCAGGAGAAAGTGAAATAATCTCATTAACAGAAATAAACAATAAATACTCACAAATAAACTCAGATCTCCTGTGCATTTTTTGGTAGATGACAAACTTCATGTAAATATCAGAGCTACTTGTAAGCCATCCATAAAGGAAGGAGTAGCAATTGTTTCCTCTAGTTTGTATTACCAATTTGCTGTTTGTGCAGCTGGATTTGGAGTTCTTAAATAGAATAAATATGCAGCAGGTAGAATTGATCTCTAGTTTTAAAAATATACATGTCTAAAAATTACAATATTTGAATTTGGAAAATGTCTGACTAGTTTGAATCAGTTTCATTATAAGCTTAATGAACAATTAGAAATGTGGCAAAGATCTATTCTGACATTTGACAAATCACTTTTGACAGAGTGTGGAAATCTGGGATATATTTATATCCTAAGGATTAGCTCCTGTACAGTTGATGATAATATTCCGTCTTTACTTAAACACAGACTTTCAGTGTTATTCTTACAGACTGATGTTGAAAACAAAAACAAAAAACAAAAAATCAGGTCAATATCAATCACTGGAAAACAGGCTTTCTAAAGGGTTTTGTAATGATAAGTATGAGCTGGAAGGTATTCTTAGCATGTTTACTATGAATCACCTTTTTGTAGGGTATTTGTATTTTACAAAATACAAAAGGCCTAACATCTTTCAGAGAATATAGCAGAAGTCATGCAGCTCCTATTTATAATTAATTAATAGACTGAAATTTTGTCTTGATCTACCTGCCTACCTATCACTTATTCATGACAGCAACATAGAATCTCAAAGGAAGAGGAAATTATCAGATAACAAAACCTTTGCAGTTTTCAGGCCTATCAGCAGATTTTTCAAAACTCAGTCTTATCAACAAGCCTTAGAGTAGTACTCTGCCTTATGTCATATCTGAATTACACCAAAATTAGTAAGATGCAATTTCCTGCTAGATTTTTGTAAGACTTCTTTTTTACTGTAGTGGTGAAAAGCTGCCATTCCATGCTCATCAGAGAACTATATGCTGTAGATAAATTAGAGACTTGAGAGCTTTCTTAAAAGATTATCTATTATGCTACTTGATTACTAACAGAATAAAACACCATATATCAAATTATACTACTTTATTTCTAACAAAGAAAAAAACACCATATGGATTTGTGTGGTACCAATAATGTAATTTAGACATACAAAACATGTCAAGAAAATCCCTAAACCCTTAATAGCATAACGTGACTTAAAATGATCTTGTGTACATTGCAATTTTTCTGGACAAAATGGAAATAAAGCACAACTTGATATGTGTTTAATGCTCATTTCTCCCATTCCTTTACCCCTCTCAAAAAAAAAAAAAACACTGAAAAAAATTATCTCAGTGATAATGATATGATGTGATCCAGTATTGTGGTCAAGGAAACTAAGTCAGTAAAACTCTGGCTGAGACACAGTGTGTCAGGGTGCAGTGTCATGCTGTGCTCTGAGGGAAGATACCACCACTGTACAGGTATAAATAAATGTGCTGGGGGCAATTTCTTTCAGTGAGTTCCATGTAAGGGTCTCACACCAATTTTTAAAGACAAATGCTGAGCAGACTGTAATCTATAGTCTCTGCCACTGGCCCAATGACATGGGTAAATCACATGGGTTCCTGGAAGAGGAAGAAAAGTGGGCTTTATAGAAGGACTTGGGAGCTTGACAGAGAAGAGCTCAAGGGTATTAATCAATGGCCATACCCTTAGACTTGAGGAGAAAGAAATTCTAGCCCACCACAAACTGCTAATTAACTGAATTTTTGCACGGTGAGGTAAGCCTTGCAAAGGAGGCAAATCTTTTGTTGTTTACAAGGCCTGAATCTTTCAAATAGTTTAAGTTACTGTGGTTAAAATTCCTTTTCAAAGTCAGTATTCATTGGCATTCTTACTGTTCTAAAAGGAAGCTAGGCTTAGCTGGAAATGTTAGGCAAATTTGTGATCAGATGACTCTGTGAGTCATTATGTTACAATCCAGAAAGGCTATGACAAAAAAGGGTGTTAGCATACTTACCTGAATCACAACTGTGCACTCACTTGGTTTGGAAACATATCAGACCCTTAGCAAATAATTGGGAATAACAATTCCTTGTCTGAAATAGATGCTGCAAAAGCATTAATAAAAGGACAAGCAAGAACACAATAAGTTTCTTTAGATTGTCAAAAAAAAGGCAAATCCAAAAATTTGCTTGCATATTTAAGGTTTAGGAGGTAAAATTAACTGCTTTTTAATTTTTTTTTTTTTTAACACAGATAATTACATATCTAATAATTAGAACTTGCAGCTGGATGTTCAAAAGTGCTTGGGCACTGGTGGAATTGGTGCTGTAATACTGAACTGCAAACTTCTAATCTGGAAGTTTTGGAGTGAAAAAGCTGTTTGCATTCAAAATCGTGATTCTGAAACCTCACTTCAGCACTATGACACCAACAACTTTTAACAGCCCCCCTACTAGTAAGCCTATATTTAGTGTGTAGGAAGTTGTCTTAAAAAGAACCCAGGTTTACTCGCTCCTAAATAAGCACCTTTATAATTGACCTCTTTATCTCAGTATATCTTTGCTTCTGTTTTGCTTTGGTAGGCGAGTGGCAGACTTGAGTTGCAACACTGTAAACCCTCTGAAACCTCTTTGGATTTAGACAAGATGAGAATTGAAGTGTCAACTGAAGAGTCAAGAAGATGTGTATGTTCACCAATGAACTACATTAAAGTACTTTCTGTATCATTCTGTGTAACAAAATGCTGGTTTCATCTGAGTGGCAGTTTTTCCCACAGACATGGAAGAGTTCCAAGAATTAGGGAATTCTTGGAAATTACTGTAAGCTTAGTACCTTTGGTGATTTTTTTTTGTTTTGTTTTGTTTTTTTGTTTTAGCAAGTGCTCACGGCTGTGTCACTACTGGCAGGCTGTCCTGCTTCCACGCAGCCGGAGCGCTTGCCCTCAGCGCGGCTCCGCGTGGGGACAGAGGCGGCGCCGGGACGCCCTTTGCCCACTGGCCTGGCGGGAAGGGACGCTCGCCGCCTGCCCAGCCCGGGCTGGGCAGCACGGGAGGCCTGTGAAGCGATGCGCCGGGGCCCACAGCACCCCGGAGCCGAAGCCTGCCTGCGGGTTTCCCAGTGACTCCTCCGGAAATATGTGGCCCGGCCAGAACGCCCTGAGCCGGCCGCGGAGGGCGGCAAGCGCTGCCGGCGCGCCCAGGTGCGGCCTCTCCTGCGGCAGGGAGGGACGGAGGGAGGGAAGGAGCTCCGCGGGCGCGGCCTGCCGGGGAGCAGCGCGGGGGTGGGATGGGGTGGGGTGGGGTGTGGAGCCAGCCCGGCAGGAAGGAAGGAAGAAGAGAAAGCAAGCGCGCAAGAAAGTGAGCCAGCAGGGAGCCGGAGGGAGAACTGAAAGTTGAAGCATTCTAAAGCCCTGCGCTTCCTTCTTGTGCCTCCCCGTCCCTGTCAGCCGCTGGCGTTTGGCAGAGGTAAGGCGGGCGCGGGGTGTGCGGGGTTTGGGCAGGGTTTGGGCAGGGTCCGGGCAGGGTCCGGCCGCTGCCGGGGGTGATGCTGCGGCTGCCGGAGCCGCCGGCTGCGAGCCCCGCGCTGCTGCTGCCCGGAGAGCTCCCTCGGAGCTGCCGGGGAGTGCACGGTGTCTGGGGACGGGCCGTGTCCCACATGAGCGACACATAACGAAGCTGGGATCGAACTGGAAATAGCAGATAGGCAGGTGGAAAACAAGGCGTCTATTGCTGTCTGTTTTCTTTGTAGCTTCAATTGTTTCAACTATTTGTATGTAAATGTCATGCTAAAGAGTAGTGCTTTACTGTTGTGTGTTTATTTACTCTACGAGTTGTTTTTGTGAAGGCAGACATGAACAGACCTCATGTTAGCTGCCATTATATACCTGGAAGTTTTATCAGAAAACTTAAGAAAGTCAAAGAAGCTGTAGTGTGTAATGGATGGAGAACACGAATGAAGAGTACAGCACCCTAGTGTTGCCACTGCAACTTCCCAAAGTTCCGATTGCACCCTGAGTTTGCTTATTCATGCCATTCAGTTCCTTACTCCAGCGACTCTGCAAGTTGCTCCACTGGAATTTCTTGCAGTATGAGGGTTGACTCCGAGGTAACGAAAGTTGCCGAACCTATTTCTAGAAGGCAAGTATTCTGAAATTAAAAAAAAAAAGAAAAAGAAAAAAGACAAACAAAGAAACAATTTGGCAGAGGATGTGATTAAAGTTATTTTGTAATTATCCTCTAGGTTGACCTATGTTTAGTAACTTCCTTGTATTCGTAGAGGCAATAGTTCTATCGCAATTGCTGCAATCAGTATCTTTTTTTTTCTTTTTTTAAGGCAATCTATTTGCTGATTGTATAAGGTAGGTTTTGGGAAAGACCTTTAATCTGCAATATTTTCTATGTTAATCATGTCAGTTTGTATATAGTCAATTACAATGTGAAGATGAAATTTGCTACTTGCAGATTTCGTTCTGCTCCATGGTAAGACCTGTTGCACTGTTTGTTTGGTGGTTTTTTTTTTTAATTTTTTTTTAATTTAACATATTTATTAGGATCTTGATCTAGTACGTTGTTTAGCAGAAGTTGGGAGCAAGCCTGAACTTGCTTGTGTCTGTTGAACTGATTGCTCACAGTGTGATTATCTTGCCAAGTACTTTTAAAGGTTTGACAGTTTCTTCAGGTTTGTATCTGTATTGATATTAAAAAGGGGAAAAAAAGCCTCGTCCCACTTGAGTGCTTCTGTGTTCACCTATAACCTACTGTTCATACATTTCGTTATTAAAATTTGGGTTGCTTGCTTGCTTCAACAAAGATTTGTCTATCCCCCAGTCAATTTTGTCTTCAACAGTTTTCAACTTGAAAAATCAGAATTAAAGAGTTTTAAAACTAGTAGATATAGCTTTCCAGAATGCCAGATGCAGGTGCTTACTCTCCATGTGAGGAAGGGTTTTGAGAATTAGAATTGCTGTTTTTCTTTGGTGCTATGTAGCTGTCACTTTTAGTAAAAGAAAAGACCTGTTAGGCCAGTCGTGATTTTTTGCCACTCCTTGTCTAATTCCTTCCCATAAGATGGGAAAAGGAAAAAATTGACAATCAGTTTGAAGGAAGTGTGAAAAATACTTTCTATGAAAGAAAGTTGGATGATTGTATAGAAGGCTTGAGATGTGCAACACACACTGCAACTTTGTCTGAAGTTTTTCTTAGAAGAAACTTTTTCTTCTAAGAAAAAGTTGAAACTTTTTCTTAGAAGAAAAGCCCAAATGGTTTTCCTTGTATTACTTTTTTCCCATAGCAGTTTAGGTGTTTTGTTTTAATTTTGATAAAATGGAATGGTCAGGTGTCTTCCAAGAAGTTTGAGGTTTTTATTTTTTTTTAATAGCCATTATAGCATTTTCCTATTTTTAGCAACCATGTTGAGAATGGTGTTTTTTGTCTTAGTTACACTACTTAAAAGAATATAATATTACGACAAGAATCAATTTTATTTAAGCAAGTTCAAATTCCCCTTGCGTTTTTTTTTTTTTTGTTTTTTTGTTTTGTTTTTTTTTTTTTTTTTTTTTGTTTCTTTGATGTTTTTTTGGGTTGATTTTTTTTTTCTATTTATTTGTAAGTAGGAAAAATCTGTTTTGACTTGCTTCGGAGAGGAGATTTGTTTTATGGAGTGTATGCAGTCATGTGCACTAATGTTGTTTACAAATGCTGAATTTGGGGTGGTAGAAATGTGGATGTGAAAGAGAATGAATGTGTTTGTATAAATGTATATATGCCCCTCCCATTTCTAATACTGTACGTCCTTTAGGGTTTATTATAAATTACTTTGCAACCAAAGCTAAGGAGGAGATTAAATTATTTTTTAAATTGATGACAATCACATCAAAATAGAGTAGTGTATTGAATAAGGTAGTCCTTGAGTTCTGCATTCTTGAGTTGAAACCTTATAAAACACTTTAAGAAGTGATTACATATTTATGTTCTAGCCTGCAAAACGCTCACCCATGTGTGTAGATTTGTTTAGCTGTTTGTTATTTTAATCTTTGTGTAAGTAGTGAAACCAAACCAGTTCTCAGTATAACCCTTTGCTTAGACCCACAAAATAATATGTAATCTTAGTGGTATTTAACCAGTTGTGTAGCTAGGGCAGATTTATAGCATGTCTTCAGAAATCTTGATGGATACACTGATAGCTTCTGCCATAGACAACTACAGAAACAGAAAGTGGCTTGGACTTTATCTTGCAGCACTGTTGGCATTTTGTGGTCAAAACATCTTCTCAGCAAGCAGTTCCTTCCTTCCTCTGTTACATGCTTTGTTCATTAGATAGCAAAACGTAATCATTCTTACAGATTTGGATGTGAAGTTGTTCTCTGCTAGGTAACCCTTTGCACTGGTATGTGGTTTATACAAAGACAGGTTAGAATCCAAACACATGGCTATTTGAGTTCCTGAAGTAACAGCACTGGAGGTGTTCTGGAATAAGGTGTAGGCAAAGCTATTGCATGTAGAAAAAACAGTATTATGATAGACAAGAGAGAACATGAGGGTATAAATATTTTTGTTTATCTATTATTTATAAATACATAGCTAAAACTACTCTCCCAGGTGCGTTTTTTGTTATTATGAAAGGTGGAAGGATTGAGAAGATGATACTGTCTGAAAATGAGCAGTAACACCTTAGGGAAAAAGTAGCCAAATGCTGTCATGAAACCCAGAACTGTCAAGGAAGGTGGAAATGGCTGACATAACCAGCTGCAACTGCAACTTTAAAAGCCTTAGACTGATATGCTAATGCTGTAGGGATTTTATATACTTGAATATATGTGGGCTTTGGTTGTTGTTTTTTGGTGGTTTTGTTTGTTTTTCTTTCTTTTTTCCTTTTGTTTGTAGTCTGTTTGTTTGATTGTGTTTTTTATCTAATTGCTGAATATCTGAAAGACTATTTTCTGACCCAAACAGTACCTGTCTGATATTTTTTTCCCTGGTGATTAATTTCGGTACTGTTTTTTCTTCATTCTGTGCTCAGAATCTGAGAATATATACTCATCTAGTTAAGAGGATATACATTTACATTTTTCAGGGTTTAGAGATGGGTGGAGGCCATGCTGTTGAATTTTATCCCTTATGACTAGACGCTGCCATGAAAATTTTGAGGAAATGCTGAGTTTTCAAATTTTTAAATGAATGATGATGGATGTTTATATAAGCATGCAGGTTAGGATGGGACAAAGGTAAATATGAAAGTGGATTGTTAATCTGTTTAGATCAATCCAAGGCTTTTTGAATTCAAATGTCTTGGGAATCTTTAACTGAGGGTTAACTCTGTAATAGTGTTAATCTCTCTTGAGAGGCTGATATCTGATTGACCTGTAGAGTTGTCTGTCTAAAAGGTTTTAATTGTATCAATTTAATATTCAAGATAAGTCACTTCTGAGAATTGTGGGTAGTAATTGAAGCTGATAAAAATATATCCAGAAAAATGAAGCTAGAGACTAGAGAGAATCCAATGATTTATTTTGAATAAAGGAATATTTATAGCAATTGCTACAGTAAAAATGTAGGCAATGTTTTAAGCTTAAATTCTAGATCATAAGTGCTGCATTTTTTATCGTGAAATACTTTGAAGAATTAGGTATTGATGCCTACTACCACAGACAAATTCTGGTAGTAAGATTTCTCCTCTTTCTAAATGCTACTAATCTTAATGCTCTTCCACTGAAGCTGTTCCTTCTTTTCCAGGCTGCTTAAGGCTAGTACCTGCATGCCAGGACAGCTGTTACAGTCAGCAGGTTTCCCCAAGGCCAAATTACTCTTTATACAGAAAGAGAGAGGGGGAAAAACCTGCTGAGTGTTGCTGATCTTAAACCTTCTTTGAAGAAATGTTATTTCAGGCTGTTTCAAACACCTTCAGAACAGTAGCATCTGGATTTTGTAAATTGTGAATTTACATATGGCCCTGAAAGAAAGAATAACTAAAACAGATGAAATCTGGAGTGTAAGAGCTGAGTTGGACAATACTAAGGAAAAACTTGTGGACAGCTAGAACTTGCTTATGTCAAGCATGTTATGCTTAGGTCATGCCTGTTCTCTTTGTGGCCAAGGGAAAACTGCTTCCTTGTCAGAGTTGAGGTGCTGGTGGTTACCTGTTTGCTGTGTTCCTGCAGGGCAGTTTTGTTTGAAGGGCTAGATCTACTGTTACAAACCATGTTATTGAGGATAGTACTTGTTCAGTTGGGTTCTCATTTGAAGAGGGCTTGAATGCATAGTTCACATAGAATGCTCTAGACATTTGTTCCATTGCAGGTATGTTTCTATGTTAAAAGGATTTTGAGATTGGAAGATAAGGCAGTAGAAGCCCTATTCCATAATTAATTGGTGCTAGTGTGGAAATAGGAAAGTTTTAGGTTTCATTTGTGGTCTCGGATAGCTCTTTCTCTCCCTGATACCCAAGTACTGTGTAATAAGAATGTGTGTGTAGATAAGTGATTCATCACTTAACTGTTCATTTTAATGTTTAACTACTAGGAATATGTGTTTTAAGTCTGTATTACTTGTGCTGAGACATTGATTTTGCTATTTTCTTCATATAGGCGAAGATAAAAGGATGGGTTTACCCTTATTGTAATTATTGTATACAATTAAAAAATATTAGACAGGGCGTCTTTCACAATTTTATTCAAGGTAATTGAAGGTGAGAATTTTTTTTTAATGTCCTTTTTCTTTTCCATATGTTTGCAGTCTTTAAAAAACATCAGTTTGAACTGAAGAAAGTAGAAGAGGTGCCATAAGGAAACGGATATTTTCTGCCGGCTGGTTGACACCAAATTCAAGAGAGTTTTCTTGCTAGTGAGCATGCATGCAACCTGACTATTTCTACATGACTGTGTGGGGCAATATACGGAATGAAGTCATGTCATCCACAGGCAATGACTCTGATATTGAAGAATTTTTGGTCAACATTAACCTTGCACATTATCTTCCTAACTTTAAAAAATATGGCTATAACACTGTGACAGATTGCATGGGAATCAATAACAATGTGCTTCAGCAAATGGGAGTGTTGCCTACAGGACACCGCAGAAGGATTCTTAAACAGTTAGACAGTCTTTTGGAAATTCAAGGAAATTCTCTTTTCCGTGAAAATTTAAAATTCAAAGACTTGAAAGGTTTGGAAGAGAAGCAATATTCATCCTCAGATCAGGAGTCTCCTGTAAGCAATTCAATTGTAGATCGGACTGGCTTGATACCTGTAACATCATCAGAACAACTTCTTAAAAAATCTTGTGTCAATAAGGAAAAGCTTGAACTTGCAGAGGAAGACTCAATGGAGGCAAACGATGATAGCTTTACAAATTTGGATTTTTCTAGTTTATACCAGAATTCAGACAGCATACTAAATGCTGTCAGTCAAAATAGAAATACCAACACGAATACTCAGCAAGATGCATTACTGACAGAAGCTGCTACATGCCAAGCTGATGAGCACTTGACTGGCTCTTTGGTGTTCCGTGATCCTCCTTCATTTGTTCGTTCATGTGAGACAAAATGCAAGGAGAACAAACAGCAGAGGTTTGTAGATGAGGGTGATTTATCTGATAGTAAACCAGATTCTCCATTCTATAAGTTTAAAGGAGAAATGGTAGACAATGACTTATATGATTCTTGTACGCTGAACTGCATGAAAGTATTTCCAAGAGCAAGCCGATCTTTTATCTTAAGGCATCGACCTGTACCAGAGATTCCTGAACCAAGTAAAGTTCAACCTTCATCAAGGTAATCGCTGTTTGTTACTAATGAGAAATTACTATCATGGTAGAACTTAGAGTTTGGGGTTTCTTGATTTTTTTTTTCTTATGTCTGTTTTTTTTTTGGTGTGGATTTTTTTAATATGCGCTGTAAATAAACTGGATCTGATATGAATGTTGCCAAATTAACTGAAGAAGGATTAAACTTCAATGTATTTTGAAAGCAAAAATGGGAGTGTAAAGGGAAATTTTAGAGCAATGTGTCCTCATAACCTCCCCAATTTTCTCTGCATCTACATATTAACAAATAAAGAAATCTTTATTGATTTAGGTGTAACTCTTAAAAACAATTATATAAAGCATAAGCAAGAACTTCAGGATGGCTTTTGGGTTAATTTCTGAACTGGTAGTCATTTAATTGTTAACTTTGGAGAATTAAGGCTTCCATTTATTCATATTATGTATTGGCGTTTGCTGGTCTCTAACAACAAAACCTTAGCTTTTAGTGATATTTCTAGTATAAAAATATTTCCAAGACATTCCAGCAAGTGAAAACAGCAGTGGAAAAAGGAAGAAAAAAAAGACCATAGCTGTGGATGGTTTTTCAGAGTTTGTGGAATCTTTTAATTTGTTCCTAAGTATTCAGATGATGTGACTGTGTATTTTTCTTCCTTCAAAATGGTTGAGTTCATAATTTGAATTCAGAAATTTCTGAGTGGCACTTATTTCTTAAATAAACATTAGTTGTTATAGCTTGTCTTGGAAAAATGTGATAGAATGTTGAGAAAAATATCTGCTGTTGGGACTTAATTCAAGACCTACCTTAATAAAAGTATAATTGTTGGAATTTTAAAAATGATAGGCACTGAATATGTTGTCAATCACTATACAATATTGCAGTCTTTAAGGAAAAAATATCTCCATCCAGGTTAATTTGTGAAATGGTTGGACCTATTAAGTAAGTTTTAGTTGTCATGCTGGCTAAATGTCTTAAAGAGAATAAAAATTAATGCAGAGGCATATGCAAAGTTTTGTTGGTGTAGCTGTATCCAAATCATTAGGTTGCATTTTTTTTCCATTTTTTTTTTTGAACCACAAGCTATGCCTGGAAGGGACATGTCTAGGAATGTTTTATATTTATCTTGAGTTTTTCATGTGCATATCTCAGCAGTTAGAAACATCATCGAGTTTATACATGCTCTAAATGCAGGGGTTTCCCAGCATTTATAAGTTTTAAGATTACTGAATAATGTCAAAATTCATCTTGTAATACAATTGTTTGAACAGGTGGAGAGGCAAAGTTTCTTTGCAACAATTAGTGATTTTTCTGTGTGCCTTAAAAACTCCTTCGTTGGTGTCTTCTAAATGACAAAAAAATTGTGTTAGTTGAAACTTAAGTATACCTGTCTTTCATTGAGGAGCAGATTTATATTAACTATTGTAGAGTGATTATTCCTACTTCATTTAATAAAACTATTCATGCTGAGACAAAATGGGATTCTTAACCTAAAAAATAACTACATACTAAAAGAGTATTCTCATTGTCTTTTGAGAAACAGTCATTCAGTTGAGAGACTATGCTGTGTTTGTACTCTTCCCACCATTGGAGTAAATCCTCCAAATCCCAGTCTGTTAGTGATTGATGTGTGACTGGGTCACTAACTTCATTACCCACCACTTTGACTTGCGAGCTCCTGTATCTTTTCTTGGTCTTTATGCTCCAATTATAGCAATATGGAAATTCTCAGGGACCTGTCAGTCTGCCAAAGATTGAGGCTAAACAAGAACTTCACAGCAGAACTTAAACTTGGCAGAAACTTTCTTGATAACCTTTCTGACAACCTTTTCATAGGGGTGGAGAACTAATACTAATACCGAGAACTTTAAAATGGCATTGTGCAAACATCTTTAACCTCAGGAAAGATTGTATCTTTCTCACAGAATTGCTCAGACAAACAGCCTCAACTGGCCTTATTGACAGATGCTGGTTTCATCCTTATTACATTGTATAAAGGATATTCCATAGAGGCAGAGAAATCCTGCTGAAATCTGGGAAACATTCCTTCTAGTCAGCATTCCAGCATTTCCTTCTTGTCATTCATGGATATAAGTAATTAAATTTTTAAGCAAGGAATACTTTTCTCATCACCTCCTGTGTGTCTTTAGCACAAAAAGTTTTTACAGTGGGTCTCCTTGTGCATCATAGTAGGGCTGTGACAGTGTCATTTTTTTTACTAATAAGGCACTTACCTCACTTCCAATTTTATCCGCTTCCCTGTGCCTCACTTCTGTTCCTGGCTCTTGCCTGTAACAAAGCATGGTGGCATCTGGAAAGACACCATAGCATTTTGGAAGCTGTAAATACTTTGGGTTTATTTCTTTTTTTGAGTAATGGCACTACAGTGTGGCAGCACTGTAATATTGGGGGGGGGCGGGGCGGGGTGCAGAATTAAAAAAAAAAAAAAGAAGAAACAAGTGACAATTTCACATTTTTCTTAATAGTGGAGTTATTGTGCAGATGTTAGTACTGGTTTTTGTTGCTCAGTATTGATGATGTACTGTATTGATATTGTAGTTATACTAGATTATTTTCAGCTGGACTTTTCCTTATTGTATCATTATTAGCTCTCTTTTGTTGGGGAATTATTAACAATCAGTCAAAAGGTGTTTAAAACCCCAAAGTGAAAAATTGAAATTAATGTAAGTATTGTAATAGATGGACCACTAATATGTCTTTAGAACAAGATTAAACATAATTAGTTTTGAAATCATTTTAGAGACTTTGGATACTTTGGATAATGTCAACTAGCAGTCACTCTTCTGTGAAATAGTTACCATTGTGTCATTCTGGGAAGCAATCTGTTCAAACAAAAAGCTGAAGTAGATTTAGAACATGGTAGATCTGATTTTTATACAGAATAACACACAGATAAAATTTCAGACTGAGGAATTATATAATTTTTTAGATTTTTTCATGTTACCCATCTTTCTTACTTGTGTTGTGCAGTAGTGGGGTTATTCTGATTCTTTATTAAGAGAAATAAGAAAAACTAGACCAGAATTCTGGGCAATATCCTGCATATGGGGAAAGATATAAATAAGTAAAATAGATAATGGTGCTTTGCCTGAGCAGACACTATTTGTTTTCTGCAGTTGGTAGATCCTGTAGTTGGAATTCCTTGCTTGGTGTTGATATCCTTTAGACTCCATTTCTTAACATGGTTGCTAGTGAGGTGCCAGGCTGGTGTTGCTGTGTATCTCTATTGTGTTCTGCCACACAAAATAAATTTTTTAGAAGAGAGAAGCTGCTCCCTCTTTTTTCCTGTGGTAAAGTATCATTTATTACTTTACCTCTGCTAGCAGGCTATGAACCCCAAAGCTTTAACGCAGCATGCTAGAGCAGTTTTGATGTGTTTGCATTATGGGAGGGTTAAGTCTTGAGATAGATAGAAAAGAAAACATGTCTTGAATGAGTTTGAAAACAAAAGCTTCTTTCATTTAAAACACTCAGCAGATGAATGCCAGGTAAGGACTTTGAGGCACTGACTGCTTGCAGTGACCTCCTTCCCTCACTTTTTTGCAAGGTGACAGAAATAAATTGAATAAATCAGCTTGGTGCAAAGTTCTTTGCAAAGTTTTAGCTTTCCAGCCTTTCAGCATTTAGCAAGACCAGTCACTGCCTCATCACGTCCTTTCATCCTGTTTATACATAATACGGGGTGCTAGAGAAGTGTGTGCAGCCTGAGCCGCATCCGGTACCTCTTAAGGTATGAAAACAGGGAGTGATAATCACCACAGCTGGAACAAAGTCAACACTGAATAATAATTGAAATTATTATTCTGTCTTTGAAAAATTGGCGCACTTTGTGATTGGCAGACTGCTTGCGCTAGCCTTCCATTGAAGAGTTAAATAAAGAGTATCATCAGTCTTGTTTGGGGTACCTAATTTTTGAATTGAAAAAATTCAAGAGAAGAGGTATTCACTTTCTGAAATGGCTAAGAAAAAGTCATAAATTGATACAGTTATAAGATTTTTGTTTTCAAATTTTTTCCACCAACAGATGTCTTCAGTATTTTTCTCTCTTTTAATCCAGGTATTTAATCTGTATAACAACTAGCTTACTATTCTATTAAGCATTCACAAATTATTATCATTTTGTAGCTTGCACTGTTGGGTTTTTATCACATATGATCTTTCAAGCAGATACTCAAAGTAAGCTCATTTTATTTATTTTATATCTTCATACAGTTTTTGATTTACATAAGTTAGAAATTTGCTTTCCAAAAATGACAAGGAAGTGAATTTTTGAATGCTGGAAAAAAAGACTATAGTTGTTTTTCAGCAGGATTTTGTGCCATGTATATGTAAATGTAGGTGCGTGATCAAAAAGAATACACAAGTCCTAAAAAGTATATGGATTTTAAAAAAAGTATGGGGTGTTTTGTGTGTGTGTGATTTTTTTTTTTTTAAGCTGACTTGTTTTTTTTCATTACCTGATGAAATTATCCATCCACCCTGAAACTAAGCAAATGACTCACTGTTTTACAAAAGGAAAGCCTCCATAATTTTAAAAGCTCTTCAAGTCAAAGCTATTTATCTCTAAGTCTTAATTTAGTTTAATGCTACTAATACCCTTCAAAAGATACCAAACTACCAACAAAAATCTGATCTGTGTTGAAATACACTAGATTAGGTTTTGGGTTTTTTTTAAGCATAGTAAATTCTCACAAACACATGAAGTTAGTTTGCTAATGGAGCTTCAAAAGGTGTAACTACAAGAATTTTAGAAAAATGTATGATGAAACACAGACTTTTTAAGTGTTTGCTGTGTATTTATTGTAATTATGACTCAGGAGAGTAGGCAATTATATATGGGAACTAGGCCATTATCCACTTTCACTGGCCCAATTTACCCTGTGTTATCTAAACCTAGGATTTTATAAAGTAATCCTTGGGGAACTTAGTTTATGTAACCTGGATAACATTTGAAATGTCAAGTAACTTTATAAGGTGTGGCTTCTATCTTTAATTTAATCTTAATAAAATTTTTGAGGCAGATTTAGGTGTGGAGTAAAAATTATGTGAAATAGTAGTTCATGAACACCTGCCTTCTGTCACAAAGAAACATTATTTTGTAGTTGGGAGAAATTCAAGTTGGACATCATGGGACAGTATGTCTAAAGTTCTAAATGTAACATCTTAAAATAGTAAAATTTCTCAATATGTTAAAAGGGGAAACAGAAGTTAGGAGATTGATATTTTTAGTAGGAGATAATTGCCTTTGGCTTTAAAGGATGGAGGACCCACAAACTGTTAGGAAAACCAATAAGGATCTTACATGGCATTTATAAGCCTCAGAATATTCTATAAGGATGCATGAGAATCTTCAGTGATCTTATTTTAAGCAGAGAAAATGAAATTAAGAGGAAAAATTGCTGATTATATTAATGGGGGAGTTCAGAGCTTGACTGAAAAGACCTCTAATATGGACTGCTGGACTAGTGAAAGTGGACTAGAAATTTTCTAATTCACACTTTTTTCCTATGTTCTGATAATAAAGCTGTGTTGGCCTGAAATGTTAATAGTAGCAGTAATATTGCACTATACATGAAATTACTGAAATACATGACACCAGCACGCCACTAATAAAATAACTTTTCTCCTGTGCATGGAGATAAATTCTTACATATGTGTAATATGTGTGGGGGTTGTCACTGGCAGGTGCAATGCAATGCCATTTGCCTCTTGGTTTCAAAACTTTGTGGGGGGAAATAATTCACTTACGGAAATCTAAACTTTACAACATTTTTTTTTTCAGTGTTTGGGAGCATGTTCTGGCTGGATTCTCGGGCCCCTTAAGAGTTTAATGTTAAAGTAGATTTTCATAGTACATCCTTGTCAAGGAGAAGGGAAGGAAAAGGTTGGGCAAAACTCTGGGGTCTCCATTCTTCAAGCAGTCTAAATGTTTTTAATGTCAATTCAGAACAAAAAGACCCCCCTGAATTTGGGATCTCTGCTAGGATCAGAGAAGTTCTCAGTGTCATAAGGGGAGGAAAACATATTGTTGTGTGACTTTGAAAATAAACCAGAAAATTTCCCAAGATGTAAAATGTATTGTTTCTATATTTGTGTATAATTTTGTTTAATTGCATGAGATGGTTTTGCTTATTTTCTGAGACATTTCAATTAATGTTTTCATTCTGTGCTTTGTTTTGTTCAAGTTCCCTTCAGAGAAGAAGAAACATGGGCCTTGTAAATATTTCTTGCACTGGGAGGCAAATTTCACAAAACAGTGAGTTAAGCATGCTGATATTTACATCTTGAATATTAAGAAAAAAGAAACCTTGTACTGATTATCTAAAATAAGCATTGCTTATTTTAAATAATATTTTAAGAAATATTGGGCATCTGAAAGGTTTAGAAGAATTGATTTATGTGATAGCAGAGTATTTAATCAGTTCTGCATTTTTACTTACTTTTTGGATATGTCCAAATAAAGTAAAAATTAGAAAATCTACTCTTTAAACCGCATTTATTTTAATATATATATCTATTTTTTAGGCTAGTGTTTTAAGTTCCTAATATTAGATCCAGATTTTTTTAAGCAGCGTTAATTTCTTGAAAGATGTAAAGAGTGTATTTCTGACTAATGCTACTTAATTTGTTTATAAGTGCTCATAGCTCCTGGAAAGAATAGGAAATTTATTGTATTAAATAGTTTACTGAAGTGTTTCAAAGTCTTGTGCAGTCAGGTGGAAACTTCTTTCGTATTTGAAAAATATGTCTTTTTTAAAGGTATGTGTGTTTATTTTAAGTAAATACTTGGTGACAAAATGAAGATGGTGCACAAAAGAGATGTGTGGTGATTTATTTTGGTATTTTTTAAAAGTCAGAATAAAGACCTTTGGAGCTATTGCTTCTTAGACTAGACAACTGAAGGTTTTTTTAATTTTAACTCAATGCAGGGTAGGAAAGAAGGAAATGCCTGTATGCAAGTTATATTCAAATTACATAATAAGTGTTAATGTCTGTGGTGAAAAGACAGACTGGAGTTCATGTCTGGAGTTCATGTAGGAAGAGGACATTATTTCTTGTTTCTCAAAGTTTTTTCTGGGAAGGACAGAGAAATTGCAAGCAGTAAAATCTGTGTCCCCTGTTGGTTTTATTATGACTTTAGCAGAGCATTTGTGACTCACAGTAGAGCACTGTGTGACTGTATTTATTTATTTATTTATTATTTATTTGCTTTAAGATACTTTCGTGGAAGAGAAGCCACCCATTATCTCTCCATATGGGGAAACCTTTATTTGTGACAATGCTAAAGATGCTAAAGTAAGTTGAGAAGTCTGAATGTATATAGTCTGTCTTCACTTTAATCTTCATGCTGGCTATTTCATACTGGCCTTAATTCCTTTTTCTTTTTTTTTTTTTTAATCTTTTAGTTGCCAGTACTTGATCTTTGTCATTTTAGGTATATGCAAAGGGTTTATGATGTAAATATTTGAGGACTAATGACTTTTATTAATCCGAAGAAACACTTTGTATGTTCAGTAGTAATAAGAAGCTGCAGTGTATGTTTTGGTAGTTTCTTTTTTTTTCTTTTTATTTCTTTTTAAACCAACATAGGGCAGATAACTGGTTTTTTTTGTTTTTGTTTTTTTTTTTTTTTTTTTTTTTAAACCCCATTGGATAGAGCTGCTATATTTATGTACAGTTCTTTGTTCATAATTGAGGTTAAGCTGTTGAAATTTGAAACCGTTGGAATTTACTAAGACCGCTAAAAGTGGCTTTTTTTGTCATCTGAGGATTGCAGATCAAGACTGGGTATCTCTGCACAGACTTTTGCGTATTCTATGAAAGCAGCTTGCACTTTAGGTTAGGTGATGTGATGGTCACATTTGGCCATGCCTTTTTTCAATTCCTGTTTATGAAAGTTCTCAGGACTCTTTAGTTCTTGCATTATATTTTTCATGTATCTCCTAAACTTGCTGTATATCCGGAAAGTCACTTTTCTTTTAGGATTCTCTGAAGTGAATGTTTTTGTTGGGGTCAGTAGTTGGTGTGAGTGCCACAGATGACATGTGGACAGACTTCTGAATCACATGGAGGGAGATATGGGAGGTAAATTAGCTTAGTGAGGCATCTGCCAAATGCCATTAATTTCCAGCTCCTGCTTCTGTCTCAGCAGGAGGCAGACCAGAAATTTTTGATTCTGTGATTACTTATACTTTTTCCAGGCAGTCTCAAGCCACAGAATTAAAGATAAAAGAAAATTCTTCTGTCCTGGTCTTCAGTCTAATGTTTCATTTTTAAACTACTGTAAACTATTGACTAAAATAAAAACTACTCAAATGGATGTCTAGGGTTTTCCTTTCTCCCATTCTAATATCTTTAAAATTGATAAAAAAGTAAATGGTTCAAATTTAATCTTCTAATGAGAGTAGTTTTATAGGAATAAAACTAATATCTTTTTGATGCATACTTTGTTTTGGATGTATACTATGCTTTTTTGTTGTTGTTGACCTTTTAACACAGTACACATAAAATCATACCTTGCCTTTCCTACTTGTTCTTGTTATGTGCACGCAAAGCTGGCTTTTGAGTGGTCATTTTCTTTCCTTGAATGCAATGCCTTGGCTGTGCTAGTTATTGTTGTCTGTGCCAATGTCTTTAAAAATTCAAAATTTAACTTCTTTTTAATTGTTTCAATGGTCGAAACTGATTTTCTAGAAAAGGTTTCCTAGCCCTCTTGTTACTTATTAGCATTATTCTGTACATTTCATTGAAATGGTTGTTTATGAAAAAGCATACCCAGAAAGGTTGTCAGCCCCCTTTCTTATCTTAAAAAGGCACAAAGTACAAAAATACCATGCTGTTAAACTGGATTAACTGCTTGAAACTGAATTGCTGTTTTGGTGGTTGTAGAATCATTATTAATGCAGTATATTATGACATCCTTTACTTGATTTGAAGATTTGGATTTTAATATCACATCCATGTATGTGAACAGTTTCTTGCATTATGTTTATCACATGTCTGTTGGAAACTTCATGGCTGATTTTAGTTCCATTAGCACTTAATTGTGGACAAAGGTCATAAAGAAGAACTATGTAACAAACATCTTGAGATACATTTCATTATCAGATTTTTTTTCAGCAGAAGCAAATATCCTAGGAACAAATAAAAATATTTAGATAACACTGTAAAGTATGTGAGATTTTCGAGCTTGTTGCTGCTGCTTAATGTTAAGTCACGAGAGTATAGTTTGTTCATATTGAATAAAAGGTATCAAGTTGTTATACTTACTGACTGAAATTTGTTCTAAGGGCTTGTAAGTTAGCCATCACCCTTCCTTCTGTTTCATTGGTGTAAAAAAAGGCTTCTGTAGCCTTTTGTGAAGGGAGTGACTGTAGAAATAGGTAATGAGTCACTAGAGGCTGGAAGTAAGTGAGCATGAGAGAACAGGGGAATGAAGGTTATAAAGAAAATATGCCTTCGATTTGGGTCAGGAAGAAAGATAAGTATAAAGAGAAACCTCTGAATGGCAACCTGAAGAAGGAACTGTTTTTTGGTTTTTCTTTTTTTAAATACGGATTTAAAAACCTCAAAAATCCGAGTGTTTTAGTGACATTTTATTGTTGTGTCTAACTAAAAGAGTCAAGTATATTAGAATTCCTCCAGAGTAAGACTGAATTCTAATGAGTTTAGGCCTCATGAGTGAAATACTGGCTTTATTTCTTGCTGTAGACAGATTAAATTAAACATGCAATCTGAGCTCAGTAAATTGTGTGAGCTTCTGAGTATTGGGATACTGTGGAAGGCTGGCTGCATTGCATTTCATGAGAAAATGCTTTGTATAATACCTCAGACACTTGAAGGAGGTGGGGTTTTGTCTTGCGTTGAGCCTGAGCATCTTGCAGGATATTTCTGTAAACAGGACAATGCAAATGCTTGGGTTTTCATTTCTTTGAAATAGATTTTTTTTTGTGAGCAAATAGGCTGTGGGTAAAGGAAGTTCTATCTTCATTTGTGAACTTTTACATTTTAAATTCTACTGACAATAGAAATGCATTTCTTAGTTATTGCTTGGAAGTTATCGGGCTCTCTGAATTCACTTGCTCAAATACTGAAGATTATGGAGTGAACACAAGCAGGACATCAAACTGTTTTGGTAGTGGTTTGTGACAGGCAGGAAGAAGTACTATCATGTAGCTTCTGTGGATATGGATTTCAATTGTATCCTGATAAACAAATGAAGATAGAGGATACTGACTGTTTTTACTCTGAAGTAAAAATAATATTGTTCCATGATATTAGCCTCTTAACTATTGTGCAGAAGTGTGGTGATTTTCCCTTCTTTTGGGAGATTCTGGGCAATGCAAATACTTGATAAACAGTGGATAGATTGCTTTTGAGTTTTCTATTTGATTTGTTTACAAGGTATATTGATGCTTTTTGCTTAGTTTTTTGTAGGGTTTATTTGGTTGGTTTTATTGATGTGTGTGGGGGGGTTTGTATTGTTTGGGTTTTTTTGTTCGTTTTTCTTTTTTTTTTAGCCCCTTTAGCCCTTTAACTACAGCATAGTACTGCAGTGTGTGGGTGGTTAGGTTTTGGTGGGTTTTTATTTTTAAATGGGTCTGGTTAGCAGAGGAAGACAAACAATTCACCTAGATTTATCCTAGCTTCAGACTGATTTCTACACTTTGCTGCTCACTTCCTCTGCTTTGAACTATTCTTTTTTTAGTCTTGCCTTTCCATGTTGCCAAGGTACAGTCCTCAAGTACAAGATTAGGTACTGCTACTCAGAAAACAAATTGCAATGTTGTGAAAGCTTATCCACTTTGTTTCTGCCATTGTTCAGCTTTATTACATACACATAAAAGCTTAAATGAGTTAATTAAAACACTTCTGTCAGAAAGCATGGGGATGTTAAATTTAGGGTTTTTTAAAGGAAGCAAGACATATTGAAAAGCTTAGTAGTGCAATATGATTGTCAGATTAAGTTCAGGAAGTGTGAAATGTAATGTTTACGAGCAGTGTTAACCTTGACATTTTGTACACTGCAAGCAGTTTACAAAGCAGTGTGATAAAGATTTCTAAGCAAAAGTTAATATATGAGCCTTTTAAGAAGTTCTTGGCAAGAGACAACCCAAAAAAACCCAATGAGATAAATTCACTATGTCTGAGTTCTGTTTTTCTTTAGGATTTTGAATTTGTCATTATTTTATCTTTAGTGTTCTGTGAAGGCTGTACATTTATTCCAAGAAGAAATATTGTTATGAAAGATAGGCTAGCAGTGGCAAATCCTAAATGATACTTAAGCTGCACGTAACATGTGGCTCTTGAGCTTAAAAAATATTCAGTTGTTGTGGTTTAACCCCAGCTGGTAACTAGAACACAGCAGCTTGCTTGCTCCCACCGCAGTGTGGAGAACTGGAAAACAAGTAACCTCTTAGATGGTGGAATAAGACCAGTTTAATAATTACTACAAAGCAAAATGTAATCATAATACTAATCCTGATAGTAACTCTAGTGGAAAGGAGAGGGCATCATGCTCTGTGCTATGGAACATCCCTTTGGCCACTTTGGGTCAACTGTCCTGGCCATGCACCCTCCTGGCTTCCTGTTCCTGTGCTCGCTGGCAGAGCATGGGAAACTATGAAGTCCTTGACTTAGAGTAAGCTGTACCCAGCAACATCAGTGTGTTATCAAAATTATTCTCATTCTCAAATGCAAAGCATAGCCCTGTACCAGCTGCTGGGAAGAAAATAAACTCTATCCCTGCCAAAACCAGGATGTCAGTGGTGCCTCAAGAAAAATCAGAGCAGTGGTATTTCTATGCACTCAATCTCTTTATCTGATTTTATTGTATTAGGTGTTTTGGGCCACGCTTAAATGTTGGAAATAACATTTCTTAGAATACAAAAATCAGCTTTCAAATCCATGTTTGAAAATGGGGGAAAGAGCAGCGTTGCTAGCTAGGCTGTTTGTATGTGATTTGTATCTACAATAATTTAAATACCACTTACTCCTTCAGTACAAATGTTAGTTACAATATATTTTTTTTCTAGGAACTTCATGGAAATGAATTCCTGGCTTGTGAAAATAAATTGGATCTAGGAATGAATGAAGAATATTCTTCTAAGAATCTATGGTATTAAATAAGAATTACTGAGAAACTCAAAGTGTAAAGAAGAAAATGCTATTTACTGGTGTCACAAGTGGATCTCTAGCTCTGAGGGCACAACCATGACTATTTTTTTTTTCTTCTGTTTGAGGCTTTACCCCATCCTGTATGAGGCAAATCTGGGTACTGTGGCTGTTCTGAGACTCTTTAAACTAGATTTCAGAATCTGTTGTGAATTTGGAGAGTGTCCCTGTTTTCCCCACTCAGAATAAGGAAGACCAAGTTCCATTTTCGTATGTCTCATAGCTAGCTGTGTCTTACTTTGTCATTAGGAAAAAAACCAACCCATGCAAACAAGCACAAAACTAAAACATATTCACCACTCCTGCCATGAGACAGTGGCCAATGCCTTGATGAAGTGGGAGCTAATGTGCTTCTTAGTTATCCTGTCTGCACCAGGCTCCTGTTGAGGTGGGAGAGGGAAGAGTGATACTGCAAGTCATCAAAAGTATTCAAAAGAGCAAAGCTAGTTTGCTGAGGAAGGACAATTTACTTTTAAATTACTGTTCAGTCTTCCAAAGGAGTGTTCTCTTGGTACTATTCCTGTTGAATGGAGAAAGCATGCAGGATGGTCGTAAGTTATAAGATAGATTGTGTTTAGCAGGTCTGGGTTCACTGTGATTATACAAGTTATCAACATAACCTATTTTACCAGTATTTGTTCTAATTACTAATTTTATGTACTTGTGCATTGTAGTAATACATTTTAAGAATAAAATTCACTTTTTCTTTCCAGTTACTTTAGTAATCAGAAAGAGAAGACAAAAGAAATTGCAAAAAATGAATCCTTGTCTCAGGAAGACCCATCATTAACAGCAGAAGAATCTGAAAGTGAATCTGTATATTCTACTGTGGAACAACATTCTTTGTCTTTAAAAAAAAAGAAAAATAAAACCAAAACACTCTCAGGATCTTGCAGTAAGATACAAAGTGGAGATTCTGATCGCTTGGCCAGTGAACAAACTAATTTTTGGCAATTTGGTGGAGATCAGACTTTGATTGGAAATGACTCAATAACACCGTATGCTTGCTTTTATGGACCGTCAGTAAAGAAGGTTAAAGCAGGATGGCTGGATAAATTATCCCCTCAAGGGTATGGTATTTGCAGTAGTTATTGTGTAATTGTGACAATATATGTTTGCATGAGAGATATTAAGTTTGTATTTAGTCACTGCTTAACATTTGTGGTGGAAGGGAAAAGGGAATTGTTTTCATTGAAAGAGCACCAAGCTTTTGCGAATTTAAAAGTTTTTAGTGATGTTACCTATCCGAAAGTTTTTTTAAGAGATGTAGTCAGGGAAAATATTTTTCTTAAAATTGTTGATCTCTACTCATGAGCTATAGTGGAAAAATACAGAATGAAGTTGTGCCAGTATTTCCAGTTGCTATATTTTTGCTGATTTTTGGTGGGTCACAAAGTAAGTGAAAACAAACTCTGATTCTGAAATACTTCTTTACTAATTTAGCCATGGATAATAATTTAATAATTAGTGTGACTGGAAGCCCTGTTGCTTTCTATCTGTGTTACTTGCGCTTTGAGTTTGGAATTCACCTGGGCTGAATTCCTCTTGTTTAATTTATTTTTGTGCCTAAAATTTGATAGTAGAAATCTGAGTTCAAGTCTTAAGATTACAAATAATGAAGAGAAGGGGCCACAATAGAAAATGGATTCTCTCTGTCACATTTGGGAGTTAGATGACAACAACAATAACATCAACAACATATCTTATATTTGATTTCTGTTGTAAGTTCTTTGTTTTATTTTAACTGATTTTACACTCCAGCTATAATTAGACTGTTTTTCACTAAAGAATGCTTCATTAGCAGATCTTCCATGGTAAATACTTGCTAACTCTGATGAAGTTCTTCTAACTTCCTCTTTTTAAATTGTAGTTTTCAGTTTCCATTTTTCTTATTACTTATGTTCTTATGAATTCTATGAATCCTTTTTTAAATTGAAAGTAGCACAATTTTACTTTTTAAGTCTGTTTCTGATCTTCACTAGGACTTAGCATCTAGAAATTAAAGCTGTTGTATTTGTTAATTCTATAATACATCTACTGTACTTCTATTCAAGCCTTAATAGATCTGCATTCTTTGTTGTTAGGACTGTATATTGAGCTGTGCTGAAAGTTATTATAGTGTTTGACCTTTCCTTTGATTATATGTTGCCATAATAATCATCAGCAGTATAATTCAGTATATATATATTTTTCAGTATATATAATTTCAGTATATATATATATTTTTAAAGTGAGAAATTTATGTTATTATGTTATTGTTTTGGAATACAACCTTATTTGAACTTACTGGAAGAAGCTCTGTTGTATAACAATTTCCATTTCTTCTTGTTCCTTTCTAGGAAATCTGATTTGACATTATACCTTTTTTATTTTGGTTTTGTGTTGATACAGTGATACATTGTTGAAGGTGATTAGCAAGATGGAATAATAGGTTTAATAAAACTCTTTTGCCATCGCAGAACTTCAGTGTGCGCAAAACTATTTTCTTTCCTTTTTAAATTGTTTTGAAAGTTTCATCCACATTTATGGATTGCCATTGTTCAACTTTACTAAAGAATCAAAGAAAAATTATTCACAGAGTGTTTCCACGTTCCTTTTTTTTTTTTTTTTTCTTCCTAGAATTATTGGCATACTGAACTCTCTGAGAGCTGCAGTTAGCTGTAACTTTTGTTTTATTTTACTTACAAGATTTTTTTTTTAAACACTTTTGGCAGTTAGCTAGCCGAGTGATGAAAAGTATAATTCTTGATTCCAGCTGGCTTGTCTTGCTCTATTTCAAGGGATAGAGTTGAGAACAAGTTACAAAAAACTTCAAGGAAGTGCAATGTGAGAATACATTATTTGGAAAAGATAATGAGTTAACCACAAAATTAGTAGTGGTTGGTACTGAGTAGAAAAGTTGCATGGTTATTAGCCTTGATCCAGTGACAGTCCACAGCTACATTTCAAGGACTTTGTCTCAGGGGTGGTTCAGTGAATGATACATTTTTGTTTCTTTTACTTACAATACCATTTCTCAAACATCTGAGGAATTTAAAACACCCAACAAAATTTTTAAAATTATTTTTTTTCAAACTATTGAAGCACTGTCATATTTTATTTCATTGCCCATCAACAGAATATTTCCTTCTGTTCTACACCTCTTATTCTTTTTATAAAGCTCCAATTTACACCCAGCACTTTGTGACTCCTTGGGGAAAAGAATATATACTGTTTTCTTAAATTGCTACAAATCATGCAATTAAAGTACGGGCTCTCTTTTTTTAGTTAATTCACTATAAATTGTACAGCCTTTGCTCACATTGTATGTGGTACTTAGGTTCACTTGTCCCTGTATAATCTTGAAGTTTATTGACATTTTAATGCAAAATAGATGGTACATTGGCCGTTCCAGGTTATGAAAAATGATGATTTATTGTAGTCATATAATAAAAGGTAATTAAGCCAGAGCTGCTATTTGATTAAAGTTTTGATAAGCTATCACAGTCTACTAATCTAGCAGAGAACTTACTTGAAAGGAAATAATTTTGGGAAAATTCATTAGTGGGTCTTGTTCTTGCTTAATTAACTTGTTTAATAGATTTTAGAACGGAGACATTTTTAGATGATAACTAACAAGCTGTCAACATTTTTAGTGGTTCAGGTTGATGTAAAAATATATTTTTAGAAGGTTTTTATAGAGCGTGAGTTAATGGCACACTGAAAATTTCCCATTAATGATGTCCAGTTGATAACACAAATTGAAAATTAAACTTCATGTTGTACTTGTTGGGAGATGTGGTGTGCTGCTATCCATTCATTGGCCAGAAAACAGAGTCTTGGAGATGTGTTGACATGGAATGACTTGGAGGTACCATAGCCTGTAAACAGAGATATCCTTTTCATAAGCATGACAGTGAGATGGTCATTTGAGGTTCTAAGCTTTCGTTTTTGGAAAGTATCTTAATAGAGCTTGTGGCACTTAAAGTTATGCTCTATGTTCAGAATATTGATTTGAACAGGAAGCTAAACAAGATTTGACCTTTCTATAATTTGTGATTGAGACATTCTTAAAACCAGTGTTAGCTGTATATTAATTGTGTTAATTTTTGATTCACAGCAAACGTGTGTTTCAGAAGCGCTGGGTTAAATTTGATGGAGAGAGCATTTCTTATTACAACAATGAAAAGGTAAGAGACATGTTTTGGTCATGTTTGGAACAAAATGCATCTGTGTAATACACAAGGTACTATAATTGGAATCTGAATAATTAGAAATGAATATCCATCTTATGTTAATTTTCAATTCTAAAATACTAGGGTGAGATGTAATTAAGTATTTTAAGGTGTACTTGTCTTCATGTATTGTTCATCCTTTTGTTTCCTAGAAGGGCTTGTATTACTCACCTTTCCAGGTAGATAGCATCAGATTTTTTTTTTACTTTAGTGAGAGACTGCTGCTGTTTTTGGAACAGAACAGGATCATGCTAAACACTTTTAAGAGAGTGTTATTTTGATAGTGTTTGCAGAGTGTTGTGTCATGGGAGCCTAGCATGCTGGAGATTGTGAGAGCAAAATTAAAAGTAGCATGGAAGACCACTTAAAAAAAAAAAAAACAACCCAAACCTATACACTTGTTGACTCTTGGATTAAAAATGTCTTTTTCCTGTTTGTCTTCTATGCATAATTGCATGTCATGGAACTAGGTTAGGTTTGCATGGGAATGTTCAAAACCAGTACTACAATGTATGTGGCTGGTTTTGTTTCTGTACTGAGGATTGAATCTTGCTGAAACATTTGCAGACTCGTGAGCTGCTTTGATTAAAGTAGTTCACTTCTTATATGTGATACAAAAATGCATTGGTAAATCATGGTTTTCAGCAAAGCGTGTTTTCCTTGTAATTCTCTTGGAATTTCATGTGATTACCCTTCAGAGCACTACAAAATTCTTTTTCTTTTGCTCTGTGATTTACTAATTAATTTTTCCTCTTGGAAGTAGTGAAGACCTTGTTAGACTTAAAAGTGATAGATGATTGTACAATATGCATGTTAAGGGAAGTTGAGGTTCCTTTCCACATGCATATGTGTAATTTTAAATGCTGGAAACCATTTCCTTGTGAACATGCATATTACATTAGGAAGAAAATAAAGTTTCAGGTAAAAGTTCTGAAACAGGATGCTGGTTGGTGGTAAGAGATCTATAGATGCCTTATGATAGGATGAGGATGTAAGAACAGAAGTAAGATGAGACTGTTTATTTTCTGAGGGGCTGGGGAACTAAGAAAAAGCTCAAAAAATTGTCTACATTGGTGTTTTTGCTTACTGATTGCAAATTTGAAACAATCTGTTTTTACTTGCTTACTTTATTTCACTTACAGTAGAAGACCTGATTTTGTAGGTGAAGGGAACAATAGAATAAGGAGAATAATGTTTGCATTACAGTGACAGAAAATGGTAACCCTTTGCAGTATTGATCCCACAGCTTCAGAGGAGCAGAAAAGCAGGGTTAGTCATTAAGAAAGACTTGAAAAAATAGAGAAATGGGATTTGCTTAACACTGTCTGTAGCATAATTAGGGAAAGAAATGCTAATAAAGAACTTAGTCTTTTATCTGCACTGGGAATTTATTTTTACTTTTTCCTTCCTTTTGAAAGTCACTGAAAATGTTACTTGGAGGTCAGTTGTGCTAGAATAGCACTTGTTACACGTCTGGTTGTGATAAGAGATTCCAGAAGTATTCTCTTCTGCTGAAATGAATGTTTAGTGTGTCACATGATGCACAGGAAGCTGCCAGCACTGCATCCTCTATTTAAAAGGTCTCTGTGGTAGGTTAGGCTATCAGCAGCTTGGCAAACACTTGTGGTGAAGCCTCTTTGTCTCACTTTTCCTGGAATCTGAGCCCAAGCCTCACTCTTAGTATTGAAGGAGATGCTGCTTGGTCTCTGTGTATACAGTTTGACTAAATCTGGGCGTCTGACTTGTTAACTTGGTAAGTCACATACGTGAAGAAATCTTATATCTGAGAACTGGGAGGCCTGAAGCAAATTTTGTGAACTGAGGATTTCGTGAAACTCAAAATAGTTTGCAGATAGGAGGAAAACATAGTTGGGTACCAGTATTTCTTAGTTCCCAGCAGGATTGTGCTGAACGAGCAGTGGTGTCACTCAAGAAAATGAGTTTTTGGTGCAGTGGTCTCTGCTGGATCACTCTCTCCACACCTAGGGTGTTTGTATTTCATGCAAGATGGATATCAGCATTTTCCTGCTGTTGCTTGTGTGTTGTTACCTTGAGATTATAAACAACTATTTGCAGACCCATCAAGACCTGTTTGCAACTTGAGCTCCTTGCAAGGCCTTGCATGTCCCCCTTCCTACCTACATAGCTGGCCATTTATATATTTAAGTGGAGAAGTTGTTGTTTTAATTTTAGAACTTAATGGCAAGTTCTGTCTATTCTAGTCTGTGTTTGTCTTAGGATGTTCCTACACAGACAAGTGCGTTATAAAGAAATTATACTTTTGGTTTCATGTATCAATTAAAAGTAGTTCTCAGAAGGAAACCAATCCATACTTGATATTTTTCTTCTTATTACAAGCAGGGAAGGTTAGACTCAGTGGAATGGAACTGTTTATTTTACCCAGAAACACTACCAATATTAAATAGCTCTATTTGTCATTCAAATTAGGAGCTAGAGAGGAGTGAGGTTCTCAAGAAGGGGAAGTGTACTACATGGCTAATGAAGAGTGAAATAACCAGAGACTATAGAGGGAAGACACAGAGAGTATTATTCCTGAAAATGCCCTGTGAATACTTCTTTGAATGATTTAAACACCAAACACCAATTTTAACCATATTTTTCCTAACCTTGTTTTAGTTGCGTATCAACTAAATAAAGATCTCTACTTTGTATCACCATACGTGAAAAAGTGATTCAGCTTTTAACAAACAGCATCTGACCTAGGGAAAGTTTTGGGTTGAATCTGTGTTGCTCTATTTCTTCTGTGTTCCTGGTCCTGAGAAAGCTGATGTAGTCAGAGCAACATCCCACGTGACTTTGTCTCAGAGAATGTGGTTAATTGAGGAGGGGAAGGTAGAATTTGTTTTTTCAGCTACCCTATATGCACAAGTTTTGCTTCAAATTTCTTCTTACTTTTGGCAGAAATCTGGTTTTTTTACCATGCACCTTATAATAAGGCAAAAACTTCTGGTTATGTTGAAAGTTTTTATTTAAAACAGCTTAGCATTCCTGACAAATATATTAGTAATTTAGGAAAAATATTTCACTCTTCAAGTGGAGAACTTCAATATTTTGTTGTGTCACAGTACAAGTGAACATTACAAAGAGCAAAATTCACTGCAAAACAGATGAATCAGTGTCATTCTTGAAATAGGTCATACTTAATCTGTTGTAGAAGTAAAACCAAAGTAGTCCAAAATGGTATTTTCCAGGATCCGTTAGCTCATCTCTGAATCACAACTGTCGAGGAGTGATGTGGGGCTTTATTTGAAAATTAAAGTTTCTGCCAAACCAGCTGATATAAAAAAACTCACCCAAACATTTTGCTTTTCCCTGCTGGAACATTTTTTGTCAAGAGAATTCTTAGCAGCTCTAAAACTAGTTTACACCACTCAGTAACAGAATAAATAGCTGTGAAGTTCTTGGCTGTGTTTGTTTTGGTTTGTTTTCTATATTCCTAAATAATTCACCTAATTTCTAGTCTGGAGTATTTCAAAGAGAGATATTGTATCTTGATCTACAAGAGCTTTTTAACTGGCATTTTTTTTTTTTTTTGCACATGAAAGGAAAGCTGCTGCGCAAGAAAGATTGATAAATTATTATGGTTTAAACTGTATTTGAAAATATGTATGCCTTGGAGAACAAAGCTTTAAAAAGGATGATGGATGATTGTTTAAATAGCAAAGCAAAACTATGCTCAGCTTAAAAGGAAATGGACTTTTTTTTTGAGCAAATGAAATAAAATAGTTGTAACTTCCAGCAGTCTGTTATTCTCTTGCAGTAGTACCGAATACAGCCAGTAGATGCCTGCAAACACCATAACATATTTGTAACTGAGCACCTACAGAAACAGTAGATGCAAAAATTTTGTTTTACCATGGAAGGATAAGTTAATAGTTAACTTAATATCAAACCTCATTAAAAATATGTTAAAATCACTCTTTTAACAAATATAGCCATAATGAAAATATCTATGCAGTTCTATCTGTGGTCGTTCTGACAATTCCTTGTGTGTAACTATAGTAACATGCTTGCTTCTGCTGTGTTTCAATATTTCTCTATTTATCCACTAAACCACCTTTGCTGACGTGTATTAGTACCTCAAAGTGAAACAACATTAGTATATTAAACTCAGGATACACTGGATCATTTTTTTGTTTACTTTCTGCTTCACATTCACAGTGTTCCTTGAGTGCTTGTATGAAGTCTGTTATAATAATTTATACTTTGGGAGGGAAGTTATTACAGAACAATTTCTTTATGGGGACCTGACTCGGACTATTACTGCATCTGAATCATAAATTTTATCATTATATCTGAGTTACCTTGGTCAGAAAATGAATTCATGAAAGTGTAGTGGAGACAAGAGCAGCATTAACTGGAATCCAGAAATAATGCAGATGTATTTCTGAAATGCACGTCTGCTTCAGCTTTCTTTCCTGTCAACCCCCACCCCAAACCTTTAGGTTAATTAGTTTAAAAGGTGAGCTGCTTGGAGAAAGTATTTCTAGCAGTTCCTTTTCCCCATCTTGCATTTGTGTTCCATTCAGTTGTCCTAATATCTAGTTGGAAATCTAAAAATACTGAGAAAATTTGTGCTGACCCCAAATTATTGTGGTTTAAACTCAGCCAGCAACCATGCCCCACACCCATTCACTCTTCTCACAGTCAGGATGGGGAAAGAATCAGAAAAATAAACATGAGAACTTGTGGGTTGATACAGACACTTGAGGAGGTAAAGCAAAAGCTGTGCACAAGCAAACCAAGGAATTCATCCACCACTTCTAATGGGCAGGCAAGGCAAGTGTTTGGCCATCCCCAGGAGAGCAGGACTCTATTCTGCTTAATGGTTACTTGAGAAGACAAACTCCATGACTGCGAACATCCCCCAGCTTTATGTACTGCACATGCTGCCATGTGGTATGGATGTCCCTCAGGTCTGCTGGGGTCGGCTGTTCAGGCTGTATCACCTCCCATCTTCTTGTGCACCCCCAGCCTCCTCGGGGGTGGGGTGGGGTGAGGAGCAGAAAAGGCTTTGATTCTGTCTCAGCTCTGCTCAGCAATGGCTGAAACATCCCTGTGTTGTGAACCCTATTTCTATCATCAAACATAGCCCCATACTAGCTACTGTGAAGGAAATTAGCTGTATCCCAGCCAAAACCAGCACACACATCTAGCAGAAAAACATACCTGATCCAAGCTAGAGTATTCTTGTTAGCACTGACAGGACAGTGTATTTTGCCAGTGTGATGCTCTTGTTTGTATTCAAATTCAGGGATAAAATCAGTGAATTTACCTTTTTTATTGGCTACCCACTGGCAAGGTGCAAGGGGGAACAGCAAAACTGTTTGGAATTCTCTGACTGGAGAAAGTATAATATTTTTCCCATGTCTATCATACAAGTATCATAATTATATATTTTCAAATTATTTTTCTGTGAGACAGTAAATATAATTTACTTTGGCATAAAATAGTAAATTAAAGCATGATGTTTTGCAATATTAATGCCATGAGATAATTTGTGAAGTTGAATCTCTGATATGCACAATCTATCTTATCATGGGATTTTATTCTATTTTAAAAGGTAGTAGATGTGCATAGATCCAGAACAGTGAAGTTGGTGATAGGTAAGTAGTGAAGGGGTTCATTTATTCAGTTATATTAAGTGTGGTGAACTCCCTAAACCTCATGACAAGTAGTGTTACATCAGAGAAATTGAAAATTCTATGAGAATTAAATATTTTGACTGCCTTTTTATTACAGGAAATGTTCTCGAAAGGAATAATACTGCTCTCTGCAATAGCAACAGTAAGAGTTCACGGGGAGAATAAGTTTGAAGTTGTCACATCCCATAGGACTTTTGTTTTCCGTGTGGATAAAGAAGGTAAGTAAAAGATGTGTTTCTAGAAATTGCCAAAAAGCCATGTAATCACTGTTGATAAATTCTGTTTCTGAAATATAGCTTGTTATATTATGAGAAATATTTCTGGAATCCAGTTGGTTTAAGCTCATAAAGTGAAACTGGAGATAATTCAGTCTTTGTAAGAACAGTGGAAATTGCTGGGCAATGGCTTTTTCAGATATTAAAATGAGACGACTATTTTCCCAACTCTTCTGCCTCCTCCCCCATTCTTCCCAAAGATTAATTTGTCTGAACATTTCTCAAGTCTCACTAGCAGCTCTTACAGCCTGGGTCATCTCTGAGTCACCACTTGATAAAAAATTGACAGAGACAATGAATGATGCTGGGGATGTGATGCTGTGATCAAAGGAAATCCGAGGTTTTCTGTCCTATACAGTATTTTCAGCCAGGTATTGATAGAGATTACAAATGTAAATTGTAGCAAGGCAGTTAGTATGCCTTCTAATTGAATGCTTTATCAACCTACAGCTGTAATATGTGGAATCTATATCAGTGCATGTATGATTTATTTATGGAAACAATCAAATAAAAATGAATGCCTAGAAAAAAGGAATTGTGCAATATGTATTTACAGCAGTACATGCCAGAGCCGTTATAGCTCTGGGGTCTCTCGGCATTTCCATTACCAAATCCCATTTTTATGGGTTATAGTCGATAGTAAACATTTGCTGCAGGCTGTAACAGGAGTGCAGCATCAATGAACAAATCCTTCTTATCAGGTTTGGCTCAAATAATTTCAGTCATTTTTATGCTCTTAGCTGAGTTTAAAAATATGTATTTCTTTATTATTTTTGAATTTATCTTCTAAATTTATTTTAATTTTTTTTCATAAATTATAATATAACCATCTTGGTGCAATACATCTTGGGGGGCTGCAATTTTTTTTGTAGACCTTTGCCTTGGATACTATAAAAATGTTAAAAACTTATGCTGACTTGTAAAATATATTCAGAGCGACCACTTGTTATACATGAAATTCCATTTTCATACAGTATATAACCATCTTTGGACATAGTAAGCTGTCTGTAAAGCTGTTCACTTAAGGTTAGAAATGCCTATTATATAAGGAATGTGGCCCAGAACTAGATGATGTATTCCCAGTAAAGTATGGAAATAACCCTGCTTGATTTCTGTTATGTGCAAAAAAACCAAAACTGGTACTTGATGCTATTACTTCTGTGGATTTGTGTTTGGGAATTGTTCTGGGACTATTCAAAGGGTACTTAACTCTTTCAAAGATTTTGAAATGGAGACTTTTATATGTATTTTGAGATATCAGAAATGCATTACTTTTGGATGGATTTAAATATCTAGAGGGAAAAGCACTATATATAATGATTTGGAAAGTTTAGGGGCTTTTGGGGGCAAAATAAATAACCAAACAAGGGATAGCAGTGAATTAGAGCATAACTTGCTCAGATGTAGTGAGATTTTGTTTCAGCAGAGTGAAATACCATTGAAAAAAGACACTTCTAGAGTAATTTCATGCCCTCAGCTATACTAAAGTATTTTGAAAAGATTACTGAAGTATTTCAATACAGTATATATGTATTTTAAAGCAAAATTTTTATAGGAACACTTGGATCACATTCCCTAATCTGTCAGGCTGCTATCTTCCTTTTCTACAAAGTATTTTATGATACCTAAATTTGTGTATTTTTTGCTGTATGTTGCACATATACCATTTATGAAGTAAGAATGTTACTATTTCAGTGGTGCTCCCTGCAGTCTTCCAAGCTAATATTGCCAACTTCATACATACTGTGTATAGACATTTCAATCCCTCCCTCTGACTGATCATCCCCCCCCCCAATATATTTTGTGATCTGGCTCTTTCAGAGCAAACAGTTGAAATATTCATGATATTCCAATCGCATAAGGCAAACTAATTCATTCAGACTACTCAGCATTAAAGTATATTGATCTTAGTCCAGTCAAATGTCTGAACACAGTGAATGAGACTGAGAGAAACTTTATTACTTCGCCTCCTTGTGTTCATGTATTTGTAAGATGTTGCATTAATAATGTATGCAGAGATGCTCAAACACACATTTTCTTAATTACTCAGTACCCTTGACAATGTCAAGCTTAAACACCACACCTTAATGGAATAGATTGTAAATTACCAAGTCTTTTTTCTTAAAAGCATGGCCAAGCATGGAATAGTGGCGATGATAATGCCTCTTCAGTGACAGATCATATTTAGGCTCTCTGGTGTCTGCTTACATAACTGCTGTAATTCTTTCCCATTGATCTGGCTTCCAGAAGGTGAACATGCCACCTGTCTGCCACCTCAGTCTTTAAGCTGTCTGGGATAAAGTATCTCAGAACTAGCAGTCATGATTTTAAGAATCTCGATCATTAGTTTGTTTGGATTGGTGTTTTGATTGTTGGGAGTTAATTGGATGACTGTCCATCTAACACCTCCACTCATTATTTTTATTTACACCTTCTCGTCAACGTGGATGTTCTCTCTTCTATGGCATTGCTGTACCATCAACATAGCAACAACGTTGAGAAAACCAATGTGCAGAGAAGAATGAAGCTGCTGCTTAAATAATGGTCTTTGTCTACGTTTTTTTTCTTGTTTAGAAGAAAGAAATGACTGGGTTAATACGATGCTCAATGCCTTGAAATTGATGCCTGATAATAACTCTCAGTCTCGAACTTCTGTCACCCCTGAGAAAAGTGGATATCTTGAGCTGAAAGGATACAAAACCAAAATCTTTATTCTACTTCAGGGGAGTACTGTATGGATCTGCAAAAATGAGCAGGTAAATTTTTCATGTGCTTTTTTGTGAATGAAAGCTTATAAAAATGGTTTAACTAGTGAGTTGGAAATTGATGGCTCTTTGTGAATAGGTGCATTTCAATATAAATGCATATCTCTTTATATGTAGTACTTTATTGCTGAAATTCTCAGAAGGCTTCACAAAGCAGGCAAAGAATCATTATGTCTGTTGTACAATAGAAAAAAGTGAATATATAGTGAGGTGAAGTGAAAAGCTCTGAATGTCAAAACACGTTAGTGTCAGGGCTGGGATTAATTCACTCTTAAAATGTGGGCCATAAGCACTCAGCTTAATCAGAAGGCTTATTTTGTGCAGTGTTTTATAATGCACTGCCCTGGAAAATGTGCTATACAGAAATATATCGTGGTATTTAACTGATACTTCAGGGAAATGTTCAGAAATGATGCTCTTTTTGTTTCCAAGAATAGAGACTGGCCAGATTCTGTTGTGCACTGTAGTATTTTAAACAAATCCAGTATTAAAAAATGTGAAGTAGGCCTATCTTTTCAACTTCCAAAATCTAGGGCTTTTAGTTTTGTTTTGGGCATGACTATATGATAATATAAAGTGGAATTCTCTAGGGTGCTGTAGGCAGGGAATAAATGGGGATAGTTGGGTTCAATGAATAATTGTGTGAACTAGTGGAAGAAAAATCTATTGACATTAAATGGCAGGTGCTATTTCTTTGTGAGGCAATTGATTACCTTCAAGTAGCTGGAACCTGGGATGGCATTGCGGGACGTGTTTTTACATTCTTGCCTTGTTCTGTTTCTTTCAAAGTTGTCTACAGGCAAATCCCTGTCTCAAATGTCTCTCTTGGAGCTGATCTCACTTCCTCTCTTGTTATCCTCTGTGCAAAATTATTTGGGTGTGCTTCAGGGTCCACGTAATGCTTGATATAAAATCTTAGCATTCTTTCCCAGGCTATGGCAGGAAATTAGAGAAAGATCTGATTTTCTTTCTACTTACTGTACTTAAAGGAAATTTTAGTTGTTAGGTACATTCTTTGAAGTCAGTCAACAGCCAACAAATCAAGAATGTTGTAATTTGGTTTGCATGGCAAACTTTAGGAGGGAGGATCAGCAAAGTGGGATGAACTGACTACGACCCCCATTCCCCATCCCCCTAAGGTGCTGAGTGGGGATTAGGTGGAGAAAATCAGGAGCAAAGTTAAGACCATTAAGAAGGAAGGGGTGGAGGAAAGATATTTTAAGATTTCATTTCATTTCTCATTGTCCTACTCTAGTTGGATGGGTAATATAAAATAAAGATTAAACTAATTTACCCAAGTTGAGTCTGCTTTGCCTGTGACAGTAATTGGTGAGTGATCTCACCCTGTCCTTACCTCATTCCTCAATACTTCTGTTATATTTTCTTTCTCCTGTCCAGTTGAGGGAGAGGGGGAGTGATAGAGCAACTTTAGTGGACATCTAACATCCATCCAGGATCAACCCACCACACACATGATACAGTTTATGGATTTATGCTGTTCTGTAACCATAAAAAAAACTCCCTAAGTTATTTAGATATGTAATATGATACCAAAAGTGTATTTGCTTTGTGTCATTTGAATTTAAACCCGCAGCATATGTTTTGCTGACTGATCATCAAGGAGAGAAATGGGTTTTCATAGCTGAGCACAGTACTCTTTATATATACTGAAATCTTTAGGCCTGATTATTGTAATGAGTAGGTGACGTGTCAGTTTATTTAAGTTCACAGCTCATCTTTAAGGAGGAGCAAAACCAAGATGCAAACACCACCCCTCCTTTCTGAGACTCTGTATTTCACTGAGGTGCTCTTGCATTTAGAAAGAATGAAGTTGACTGACTTCATAGTTGTTGCTTGTGAGACTCACATGATGAGTGTGCTCAGTGTTACTCTTCTGTCATGGCACTTCCAGGTATTTTATCAGAGATGGTCCATGGAAAGCATTCTCATCCATGAAAATGTTTTTGTGAATGTTCATTGTTAACAAGCCACTTTTCCTTTCAGGACTTATGCTTTTTGAATTTTATGCCCCTGAATATTTTTGAGTGGTCCTTGTGAATGTTCTGAGCTTTTTTGATTGAGGAGTAAAGATATCCAGACTTGTGGAGGAATTTCTCCTCCAGAGTGATAGGTCATTTGAAACTAGTTATGTTCCTCTTGAGTGTTGCAGTACCAGGCATCAAATTTTTGCTTTTTCCCTTTGTTCTTACTCACATATAACTGGAACATCTTTCTTGCCTCCAGTAGTGTTTTGAACTTCCTCTGTTGATGTGGGGCACACCCAGCTCTGCCCACTGTGTTGAGTCAGTTTTTCTGAATGTATGTTGATACAAAACAGAGCCGTTTACTCTTGAAGGGTTCTTGATTGCTCTTTTCTGCATTTTCAGAGGCAGATTGTATGATTCAGATACCCTAAGACTGCTCTCCTCCCCCATCACTTTCTGTTTCTACAGATTTTTTTAAATTTTTTTTTTGTGTGTACACATGTTCTATTGTTTGTGCTGTTGTGTGGCAGATTGTATCTGTTCTGCCCTTTCAACACCATGCATTTCTGAATTGCTTTATCTGATCATGAAGGCACATCCTTATCCAGCCCCTTTGCTAGATATTTATTTCCTTCTAATACATGGATGCTTTGCAAAGACCACGGACTGCAGTGCAGCAGAAGGCAAACCAAAATCAAGCTCTGAAACAGAATGGTTAGAAGTGCTGTCAGCCTGTTAACTCCTCCTGTGTGTATGAATATTGTAAACAATGGTGCAAAACCATCTTCTTCTCAAAGCCTACTTACCTAACACCCAGAAAATTCAAATGGTCCTGACATGTTTCTTTGCAGATTCTGCATTTGAACAGTATCCTTTCTTTATGCAATTTCTGGGTTTTTGTGAATCAGAAGAAATACCTTCCCTCTTTAGGCTTTCAAAGTCTGCAATTCTTTGGCTACCTCTTGGGTTTTAATTTCAAGCTGGAAAACAGAATGACTTTTACTGCAGTGCTGAAGAAAACCATCACAGTGCAGCACTAATCCATTAGAGGGCGCTGTTGATCCAAAAATCCTTCCCTGACTCAAGTTTGCAGTTGAGCCAGTAATTATTAGGCAAATCTGTCCGGGGATGTCCTCAAATCCTGTTCATATTGGAATTCACATCCATACTAGACTCCCAGAGAGCCTTAGAGGGGTTTATTATAACTGCAGTGCTAAAAGACACCTATTTAGACTTCTTACAATGTTGAAATGAGATTGGATTGAGCTTATTCATTGATTTCTAATAAACTTGATAGAGGAGAGTCTGCTGTTACTTTAAAAAAAAAAATCTTCAGTGTTAAAAGTGGAGAAGATCCTAAGCCAAATGCCAAATTGTAACTTTACTGCCATGAACTTTGTGAAGTTCAGATTGAGATCAGAACATCATGTCTGAGGCCTCTTTCTAGTTAAAAAGTGATTGGTTTAGCTTGAACTTGTGGCAGTGATACAGTGCTAGTACGGAACCATCAATTTCTTTGACTCATGTAGTGTAAATTTCTTAAACTTCCTCTCTTGAGCAAAAGTGAAAAGTAAATCATACTGGATCAATTTGTTCAACCTGCAGCTTGCTGAAATTCCCATTTCTGTTTCAAAGTAATTCATGCTTAGATAAAAAAATGTCATCTGATCATTCATGGCAGTTGAAACATTGGCTTGAAATGTCAGTCTGCAGTGGCAGTGGCAGTGCCAACCTTCCCTTGGTTACCATCAGAAGGGGTCTGACAAATGCTTGTCTGGTCTGCTTGAATATAACCTTTGTAAGGTTATATTTAAGATTTACTGGTATCTAACATCGGGGAGAACCTAGATGTCATAGTGTTTGTGCTAGAATTTGCCTTTGAAAAGAGAAATTGGGATAATCTTGTTACTGCTTTGGGTGGTTAGAAGTATTTGTCTGGGATATTTGAGGAAACTTTGCTAAATATAAAGATGGGGGACTGGTATGGCTGTGTGCTGTAATAATTTGTGACATGTTTTCTCCATGCCTGACTCCAAGCTAAAGCTAGAATGGTGATGAGTATTCTCTCTGTTATGTATAAGCAATAATATACATTAGTTATTAAAAACCACTTGTTTCATTTTGGCTCAATGTTCCTATTGATTTCAGAGGGTGTTTTCTTTTGAGAAAGATTTAAATGATTTGCTCTGTGGCAGATGTAAATGTTTATTCATGTTGAATGAACCAGTAAGGGTGCATAGTAATTTTAATTTCTTCTGTAATGCTAATGGTGCATTTAAAGCAAAACTGGACAATACCAAAGGATGTATTATGAGAAAGGATATTAAATAGGCAGAAAATGGCAAAGGGAAGGATAATGTAGAGAACTGATACAAGGATAGCTGAAAGGACAAGCCAAAGCTGATGCTTAAGATTGGCATCTTGAAAGAGAGGAAGTGATGTGAATGTCAGTGGAAGGAAGCAGAAGGGATGTGTGCATGAATCTCTGTCTGCATAAGAGCAGAGTTATGTCCTTATCTCTGTTAAGAAATACAGGTTTAAAGGGAAACATTTTTGAGCAGCCTGATCTAGTGAAAGGTGCCCCTGTTGGATACGTGTTTCAGGGGGATTGCATTAGATAATCTTTAAGGGTCCCCTCTTACCCAAACCATTCTATGGTACTATGAAATACATATTGAAATACATGCATACAATGCCAGAGACCTTGTGGTTGGGATTCAGGGGCAGACTTGGAAGTCTTTTGGTATACAACAATGGGAATTTATAATGATACTCTGCAAAGGGGATTGTTTATTAGGAAATGTTCTGGTTTTACCTGGAGAAAATAGTATCCTGATTAATAATCAAGAACATGATGAATGAGAGAGGAATCCTTTTTAAAAAAAAGTATCTCTTAAGAACAGTTAAAAGTGTTTACAATGGAAGGCTACCAAAGAAGAACAATTAAATGAAGTCCTGAAGATGAGTAGTAATGATTGGTTGTCATGCTAAAGCATCATGAGAAAT